TTCATATTCTGATTGTTGTCTTGCCTCTGAGTTCGATTCTAAGGTGAAATACGCTCACCCATTCCCGGCTTCCCTACAAAAGACAAACAAGGAGCCCTCAGCTCCTTTCCTTCCTTCTTACCCACCAAACCACGGGATCTGGTAACTTCACAACAGCAAACACTGCTCAGACAAATAATAACAAAATAGGCTGCTGACTTTGTCATCTCTCCAGGTGTGTATTGGCATACCAAACAGTAACAGCAGAAAATCATATTCATTTATGATATAAGTTAATGCTTAACTTATTAGGAATTCTAGGAGCAAGAATCCATGGGTCCTCCAAATCCAAATACTTGGCCATCTTGTTAAGAGTGCTTGTGTATCATTTGCTACAATTCCACAATTCTTATTATAGTTGTCAGGAGGACAAAACCTCTCCCCAAATGCTGTTTAATCAATGAAAATGTTAAAAAAAAATCTATTACCAGTATAAATGTTTTCCAAGATAAAGATATTTCCCCTTCTCAACATTGAAGGAATGAAGATTCTTTTCCATTTTGTCCTTAAATTTCATCTACTGAAGTTGTTTATGTCAAGTTATCCAATTTCAAACATTTTATTCTTGTTTTCCCACCCCGTAAAGAAATCCCCATGAGCATAATTGAGTAGTTCTATGGTTGCTTGTCCTCAGACTCCCCTTGGTTCCTTAATAACCACTCCCACAGCTCACATAGCGTACGAAGGCACAGAATCACTACTGAGGTTCCCAGATCTTCCCTTTTGTCTCTGCCTGTTCCATCCTTGATAATGGCTGTTCTCTGAGACTGAACAAGCATTCCAGTCTAGGTACTGTATCCTACTTTAATTTTCTATATTTCAGTCCAGTGAAGAGAACTCTAATCAGATGTATACTCTACTCCATTATGAATATTCTTTACGAGTCTTTTGGGGACATATTTTCATTCCCCTCCGTAGATGCCTAGAAGTGGCGTCGTTGGGTTGTGTGTATGTTTAACTGTGAGAAACCACCAGAGTTGTCGCCCACTTTGCACTCCCACCAGCAATCTAATGGTTGCATCACATGCTGATTTTTATTTTGAAATAGTTTTAGACTCACATAGAAGTCGCCAATATATTGTGGAGTCCTCTCTACATTTCACACAGCTTTCTCCAATGATAATATTTTACATAACCATAGTACATTGATCAAAACCAGGACAGTGATATTGATGAAATATTATTAAAATACAGGCCTTACTCTGAATCACTCATTTTTATATGCACTTTTTTGATGCACAGCTCTGTGAAATTTTATCACATGTATAGGTTCTTATTACTACCACTAAAATCATGATGCAGAACTCTTTCATCACCCTAAAGAAATTCACTTTGCACACGCTCCACACCCGTGCATCCCCTGATAACCCCCGGCAACTGATC